TTGGGTTGAACCACCACGACTATGCTCCCAAAGGTGGATTTTAATTTTGGGAGGATAGAACCCTTGCCAAATGGCTGAATATAAAGTAATGGAAGTATTATCATTTTGCATCACAATATAATATAGAGTAATGGCTGAATATAGATTAATGTCAAAGTAATTAATCTCATGCTAGCAAAGACAATATGGAAAGGAGAACACTCTAGAAAGGTGAATTTCTTCCTTTGGAAAATCGCGCTTAGTACAAGTAAAAATCTTCAAAATAAAAAAAAAAAGAATGTCCTACGTGACTCTATTTCCAAATTGGTGTCCATTATGCACGAAAGAAAACGAATCACAGAGCCACTTATTTATGCAATGCATGTGTAGTCAAAATTTTTAGACAACGATTCTCAATCTCTTCGGATGACATCTCACATTTCCTAGGGAGGTAAAGGATCTATTGGATATGACCTTAACGCACCATCCCTTCTTGAATGTAAAAACCCTACTATGGATTTCTTTTGGAATATGTGGAAAGAAAGAAAGAAATATTCGCGGAAAAGACATAGGCTTACACAAAATTCTTTGACAATATTGTTTACCAAGCTATATCTTGGTGTAAACCATCTAATATTTTTACTTCCTATAGTTATACCTCCCTCATTGTAAATTGGGAAGGTATTTTGTAAACATCATGAATATTACATCCCTTTTGTAAATTTCAATCATCAATGAAATTATCTATTATATATATATATATAAGAGCCTACATCACAAGAAGATCCATCACAGAATGTGCTGTAAAACTATCAGAAGAACTAAAGTTCCACTTCCATGAATGATTTGCTGATGATAAGAGAGATGGATGAAAGAAAATGGGAAAGAGAAGCCTATCCATTGAAAGTCTGCAAGCCTTGGATATAGTGAAGCCAAAGTATGGTTATATTTCCTATATTTACTTCCACCTCCTCCTTCATTGACTCGCAGATCAGTCTAACTTCTTTTTTCCAAAGTTTCTATCTGAGTTTCCTTGTGTGTATTCCCAATCACGTCTCTCTCTTATACCATTGTTGATAAGAACTAAGTTTATGCATCACCAAGGAGTACAATGTTAAGGAAAGAATTCCAGAGCTTCCCCTCTCTTCCTCTCCCTATCACACGAATGCATTGCCCACACCTATACCTCCCCGCTTCTAACTAATTTGTAACAACATCCTTGACCCCACTCTTCTTCCTCATGCGCATACTCCTATACACATAATTAATAGGAGATTTATCAGATTCTTTCCATATAATAAATTGTAATACGTTCTTATAAATCTTATACCCTAATTTTTTTAGTTATGAAGATTACATTTTCTTTCGATGGAGCAAAATCTTTAAGCCTTTTTGAAAATTGCACTCAATACAACTAACTTATCATGTCGGTCATCTTCTATGCTTTGACACTTGAAATGTCAACAAAATGAAATTTAAACATGTTTAATTTTTTTTTTTTTTTTTTTTTTACATTTTCAGGTGTGCTTACACATGTTTACATTGGATTTTCTAAACCAAGTGGCAAATGGTCTCGAAAAGGACAGCATGTTAGTAGCTCTCTCTCTCTCCCTACCTCCCTCCCCAGTTTTATAATTGAACAGAGTAAGGTTCCAATTGTCCGTTTGATGATTTCCTATCCTTGTGGTAATGATGTTCTAGTTAGAACATGTTTTAGTCCTTGCTAGTGTTTTTAACCACTATTCAAATTAGGAAATGATTGAAATGCTCAATGAATGGTTACTGTTAGATTGTTGAGTAGTACACTAGTTTTGATTGCTAAGGTTGAATTAACCGGAAGATGAACAAGGATCTACAATTCTTTTATCTTATTTATTTATGTCCATAGAACCTAAATTTTTTTTTTACCATTGAAGGTTGTAGAATCAGCAATATATTTCTACTTCAGACTTGGTGCCCATTGGAGATTGGATTATTTTTAATATGAAAAAGCTTCTTAAATCTAGCATGGTGTTAATTAAAAATATTGACTCAGGCTCGGACTTGTTGGATATTCTCGTGGTTCTACTTTATCATGTTCACATTTTTGTTAATCAAATATTGGAGCCTACAAAACCTAACATTTCTAATAAATTTGTTGATTTATCTGTTGTACAATGGTTAACTGGTTATACCATGAAATTAGTTGAGGCATATAAGCTTGCATGAACACCCACAATTATTTATATACACATGCATTCACAGATGCCCTTGATCGTTTGTGTACCGGTTTTACAGCTCTCATCTATGCAAAATAAAAGGGTTTTCAATGAATTCTCTGAGTTTCTGATTTGTTTTTTTTTTTTTTTTTTTTTTTGCAAGAAAAAAAAAATCTTATTTTGTTACGAAGGGCATTATTGTCTGCCTCGCCCTCCTATATTGTCTCACTTTCCCTGAATTATAACCAGTTTCTGTCATTCCTTCTAGTCCAAGGAGGATGAAACTGATATAACTTAGCAATCAGCTTAGGAGCATCCAGATTACAATTTATCCTCAGTACCAAGGTACTGGTTGACTAATAACCGTGTTAAGGGCTAGATAAATGAGGTATTGTTAGTATGTAGTATTGCACAGTTTCAGAAAGAGGCTTGTCTTCAATGCGTGTTCTTTTGTGCCTTACATTGCCAGGCCATCTCCTAGAGTTAACAGCGATTCTACGGATCATATATATCATAAAGAGCTTGCTCATATGCTTCTTTTAACTGTAGCTACCATCTAGCGGAGAAAAAAATTCCTTCTATTCACGGGCATACAATGGAACTAAAAATGGAGCAGTTCATATTCGATGCATTTCCTTATGCTCCTTCTACTGCACTATTTGAGGTGAAAGCATCTCTTGTTTGCAATTTTTTAAAACTATTTTAGGAGGGTTCGTATCACCATACTTGGTATTTGAGATTCATTTTTATATCTTTAACTAGATCTTACGAGAAGAAGAGTTCGCACCTGTGAAAAATGGCAATGGGTCAAATTTTGACACTCCAGATAGTGCTAGGCTGCTTGTTCTCCGACTCCATGCTCGCTGGGTGGTTGCAGCTGGTGGATTCTTGACACATTCAGTGCCCTTATATGCAACTGGTATATTTTGATACACAAAAATTTCGATCATTTCATGACGGTGTTCTGATATAATATATGTCCGATATTGAATCCTAGGCGTGGAAGTATCACCACTTCGTTCGTATGCCGGAGAAAATCTAGAAGCGATATGCCGTGGAAGGACATTCCATGCACCTTGTGAAATTTCTTTCTAGTTGGAGTCAACTTTTCCAAATTCTATTTGTGAGTCATCGGCTTTTATTATTTTAGAGTTAGCATTGAAAATGAGCTTCCGTTTTCTTATACTTGCGAGATGCAGTGTGCATTATCTAATGCTTTTGTGACATCCAATTAGTATTTCTTTGGTTTTGTTAATATTATATTTCCTAAAGGCCATCTAAGATGAGTGGATTTTAGATTCCGTTCCTCAAATGGGCCGATGACTTTGGAGAGACGCAAATTTGGAATATTCACAGCTAACGACTGAATGGAGAGAAGTGGGCAACCACAATCCCACCTCCAATGCTTTAGCCCAAGAGGTTAGGGTCTACTCCTCATTTATGAGATATTAATACCCTGTTTTGTTTTAGAGATATTAATGCCCATAATCAGCGAACCAATATATGAGTCCTGGTATGCTCATCACCCACCAATGAATTTACAACTTAACCCAACCAAAATGGAGAGAAATTGAGTATTTTTAAAGCAAAAGGCAAACACTTAAAACATGCAGAAGTGGATAATCAAACGTATGCTTAATATTGGGGACATGCTAACAGACAATCAAATTTTGGTCTGAAACTACTTAATATTTAAAAATCAAAGGATTGACACTAAAAAAGAAAAATAATAACCCACTAAGAAACATTCTGAGGTCGATGATCAAACATAAACGTAATATAAGGGATATGTTTACAAACAATAAAAAATAAGGAAACTTTATGCAATGCAAGTGGATCCAAGTGAAGTTAGAGATGAGCATGTTGTGTCAACCCATGCCCATTAACAATTTATTATTTTCTATTTTTCTAAATAAACATACACTCTTGGAAGATTAAGGATCGGGGCTCTACCTAACCCTTCAACAAGCCTATCTTTGACACTCTTATCTACTCATGCTCTTATCTTGCTTAGGTGTCGTCTTCTCTTCAATGCCCACTCTGTGTGGTGTGTTAGATGATACACTATCATTCTCGGTCGCATCATGACACTCATCTACCCTCGTGTGGTCAGATAGACACCACTTAAAGGTTGTCTCTTTGCTTGTCGCAACATGTGTGTCACAATCTACTCTATTTAGAGTAAGACTGAGACACTGTGCCCATGTTTAATGATAAAATAAAAAAAATAAAAAAAAAATCATGTAATATAATATATGTCCAACTCAATTTTGATAAGTTTTCCTATGGGTTACTGGTACATATAATCATTCATTAATAAATTATCCTGAAAATACCAAATTAGTCCGGAAAAAGCCAAAAACTGCCCATAGAAAAACATGTCAAAAGACTCAAAACGGTATGGTGGCAACAAAATGGAATATAATTTTTTTTCCATTTATATTAAAACTTCCCTAAAATTTCAATTTATTCTACCAAATTTTGGGTTAACAAAAAAAAAAATATATATATATATATATATCAAAAAGACAATTAGGGTTTATCAATGCTGGATCACGTGGAGGACGCATGACTTACTAGAAAGTAAGAACGGCTTCCCTTATTCTCCTTCTTTAATCTTTGATAACCACGCTGAGATCCAAGGATAGAGTTCATCTTCACGCGCAGTGATAGCGCGTGAAATACACCTGCCCACTTCCCTATATAAATTAACTAAGCAAGACTTCAAACTCACAGTGCCCTCTAACTGTCTCCATCTCCATCGCCTTCCGCTTTCCACATTTCGCCGCTCTTTGCTCTGCAACTTCAACTCACATCTCGCAAATGTGGCTTCTCTGGTGGCCGAAGAACAACGCCTCCGCCGACGCCAAAACTTGCACATCCTCCGCCGCCGTAACTGCGACTTCGCTCGCCAGGAAGGCCTCCTCCTCCAACTGCAACTGCTTCGCCAAACTGTTGCGCAAACTGAAGAAACGCAGCAGAGTACTCCGTAGCACCGCTGGAGAGAGCAGCAGCACCTTCCAATGCCGCTACGATCCTTTGAGCTACTCTCTTAACTTCGACACCAGCGGCTGCGGAGGCTTGTTAGATGAACATTACTATCAGTACTGCGCTTTCTCATCCAGATTCGCGTCCAATCCAGGAAATGTTTCTCATTCTGCTCCTGTTGCAACAGTCACTACTTCTCGCTAGCGCGATCTCTATCCCTAGAATTTTTCTTTCCCCTTTCTTTATCGACCTTTAACTTGTCTGCTACATCAGGTTGATTTTGATTATATATATAAATATATACGGTTCAAGACTTTCAGAGAAGGAAAAAGCACATTAAGATCGAGTTTAGATAATTTTTATTTCATACTCTTGTTTTCTCGTGAAATAATCGAGCCAATAATTATGGCTTAAAGAGGGTCAGGATCGTATGATGTGTTCACATGAAAATCGTAGGGAAGAAGTGATGGATGGATAAAGGAATGATAGAGGGAAGAATCAAAATTTGTCAGAGTTCCAATTATGATCATGTCACTTTTGCTTCATATACTCTTTTTCTTCAAAAAATAAAAAACTGAGCATTGGTTTAACAGAGAAAGGGGAATTAGTTTCTTTTTTTCTTTTTGAGAACTGAAAATGTAGCAGAGAGCAAAGTGGAGTGGCATTTGAAAACTTGTACCATTTCGGCAGACAAAACTCCGTAATGAATGGTAGCAAATGTACAATACATTAATTTTATGCCACAAACGGCTTGACTTCATGACTTGTGCTCGGCATGAGCTATGTGACACAATCGCACTTTCGAAGGCAGCGGACTAGCGATTGTGCGGCACTCACTTTCCAGCGACAAGTGAGTTAAGCCAATTTGTTCTTGCGTCGCCTACGGCCAAGCGACGTACGGTCGAGCCTCTAGCCTCGGTTTTAAAAGAAGGTTTTAGAAAACGAGGAGAGAGAGAGATTTTAGAAAGAGACGTTATATAAGCAAGCAAGAAAAAGATAACAACGGCTTAGCATATATAACCTTGGGTAGGGAGAAGTTGACGACTAGTCATATCCCCCTATAGTACATTCTGGGCCATTTTAGTTCTGGCAGGCCTAGACATGATATTTTTGAGCTGTCATACGCTCTAGAATTACAAAAGGAAAAACACTAGAATGAAAATGTCATACGCTCTAGAATTACAAAAGGAAAAACACTAGAATGAAAA